TGATAACTTTTGATTTTGAAATTTTAGCAAAAGTCATTATAAACAATTTATGAAATTGAAAATGAAAAGCGTGGGGCGCATGTATTACACTTGAATTGATATGAAAAGTAATATACATATGTATGTATGTATGTGGGTATATGAATAACGACCGCTTAAAATCGATTTCAAAGTTCTACTTTCGCTGTAGAAATTTTAGGTCTACGTTATGTAGTTTGACTACTGTCAATTAAATCGAATGCTTTGTATTGCATGCGCTCAACGTTTTTCATTTTCAATTTCATAGATTGTTTATAATGACTTTTGCTAAAATTTCAAAATCAAAAGTTATCAAAACAAATTCTATGGGACTGAGAAGTATTATTTTCTACTTTTTAGTCCATTTATAAAAGCGTTGTATATTAAAAAGTTTTTTTTATATTATTTATTATGAATTGATTTCTATAAAATATTGCCATTAGCTTGGCAATGAACAAAAAGACTCGTTATAAATGTGAACAATTTTTTACCTCTTTATTAATAAGAGAGCTAATTTATTTGTGAACTAATTGTTTTTGCACAATGCCGATAGAATGTTAATTTTAGTAGTGCAAATTGGTAATTTTTCACATATAAATAAGCTATATTTGGACACATAAAAGTGTTTGATTGGTACACCTATTAACTTTTTCAGGCGTATATCCTCAATTGCATGAAAGAAAATTTCAGGCGTGTGAATACAGCTTTATGCTGGAATGGTTTTCGGCATGAACCAAAAAGACAAGATCACGCGGGCAGGAGAGTAGCCCGTTAGAATCGCATTTAGGAAAAAAGTTAAACCATTTCGACATTAGCCGTTTATTTACATTTCTTCGTTGTTTACAATTTAGTGGTGGCTTTTTACAGCGATTTTCTTCATTGTCGCCTGTGACAACGTGTGTACACATAAGATAAAGAATAATTTAACACAACGGCATGATTTATAGAAGAATTTGCATAATAAAAATGATTTTTCACGCGTTCAACAGTTTCGCGGTTTTCTCCGTTCTCTTCGTTGTTTACTTCTTACAACAAAGATGGC